CTACACGGCCATCTCCTGTTTTTTAAATCACAGTTTTATATGAGTAAATGTGGGAGAAAAACAACACAGTGGTACTAAACACTGCTATACTGGCACTATGTTATACTAGGTAAGCAATTTTTGTTAATTGAGGTAATTAAGCTCTAGATAAGATGGGTGTAATTATTTCACTGTGGGGCCTCCGTAAGATTGTAATTAACTGCTCTGTCACAGACTCACTGTTGTGAATTTTAAAAAATAACATTTAATTTTGAATACAAATCTGGATGTCAAGACAACTTGCCAACTTGTGTAGCCCCTTAACAGAACTTCCCTCAGCAAAAACTGAAGAAGAACAAGCACTGTACTTCGCGAGCAATCAGGTAAAAATCAGATGATTCGAACTTAAAGTACTGCAAACTTTGATTTACTGCTTTGAGATATGAGTGATTATTCCACAAGGTCTATGCTTGGAAGCAGAACTGAAGAGTTGTCTTCTCCATGAATTCTTGTTAGACTTATTTCAAAAGGCTGAATTATACGCGGCAAGTAAACTATTTACATAGCTCTGATCTCCTTCAAGTTCTCAGTATCTGGGATCACGTCCTTGTCCCGAGCTGAGCATGGAGCAATTGCACTTACATTTCTTCTTTCCAAATAGTCTTACTCTTGAATTTTACTGCAGAAAGAGACAGGTGACAACTCTGGGCCACTTCATGAGAAATAGCTTTGGCATGGCTGTGACTGGCCATAAGCAGTCTTTTCAGGTTGCTGAAGGAAGATATAAGGTGAACACCTTAACAGTGAGCTGAGGAACTGGGAAATGGAGGGCATTTTCTGTATTTTTTAATTCTGTATAAAAAGTTTCCAATTTATAGATACATTTATCACTGCATGAACATTGCAAAGATGGGAAGAATAAAAGAGCAGCCTTTAAAAGGGTCAGCAACATGTTTAGCTTTTTCATATTCAGAAACAAACTGAAGACATTGCCTTGGGTAAAGTGGCTTCTATGCTACTTGTTATCTCTGTGTCTTCAAATACATAAAAGGAACCCAATATTTACACAAGATGGGAAAAGAAGAGTGAAAAAAGTGGATTAACATTTTTGCTTTTTCATTTTAAATTACAGTTTCCACATGGATATGTAGGTTTCTGGCTCTCCAAATTAAGAACAATTTGCTCCTTTTCCCTCAACATCCTTACAGTACGTCACCCAGCCTGTTATCTCTTTGCATATATTGCTGGCCACTAACTGATTCAGACAGGCACATTAAAAGTTGCTGAGTCACACAACCACTTTCCTTTTGTTATACAGAGAAGCATTTCTGCATCAACAATGAAAAGTTATAAAAGTGAATTAACAAACACAAGCCCTTGTCCCACACACAAAACAGGGTGCCAAGTCACTATACATTCAGTGTGACTAGAAGTATATTCAGTGCACCTTCATTTCAAAAAGGAAATGCATTCTTTTTTCATCTCAAAAATCTCAGCATATTTGTTAGTCACCTCTTTTTTGCATTGCCAAGTAAGGCAAATAATGGTGTTGTTGACTAACCATATAATATATTATTTTATTTATAAAAATAATTTCTCTGCCTATGGAGAATTTCAACAGCATATTCTCATAGTAACAAATATATCCTGATAAAGAAAACCAGCAGGATTCCTCAGTTTGCAGATTCTGATAGGATATTTGCCACCCCAATTTTACTCCCAGCAAAGATAGATGCACGTGTGTGCATTTGTCAGCTATACACAGCAGACCAAATACATTTTGTTTTGTGTTCCAGCATATCCTCTCTGAATGAGAGACAGTTTTCTCATCCACCCATGTTGTCCCTTATGTGATCCACTCGCTGAGCAAGATCCCTAAAGGTAGGGCGCTGGGTAACATTATTGTTCCAGCATTCTTTCATGATAGCATAAATCTGGAGGAAAAAGAACAAAAAAAATTGTTATCAAATAATTTAATGCTGCAAACAGTTCATAGTTACTTGCAAATGGCCCAAAGAACATCCAATTTAACTTTATGGTTCCAAATAAAGAGTGGCACAGGACCATACCATTGTGGTCCTAAAATCTTGCTACATCGTCTATTTATTTGCTTGATCGCAACAGCAGCAAAAAGCGAGGATAGTTAGTTCTGCTCTGCACGATCCTTTATTACAAAAGATGTCGTCTTAGGATGGAAATTGACCAAACTAATTCTGAGGCTCTTAACAAGTTTAAGTATTTTGCTATGTTTTTAGCTTCTTGTTCTCACTTTTTGGAAAGCTCAAAAATGTTTAAAGTGACAAACGATTACGAGTCTGAACAAACAATCAGATTTACAAAGACTGCAATTCTAAACTAAACTTCTCCCATAGTTTTAACATAGACTTCTCTACAATCTCACACTAAATTCTTAAGTCTTAAAAATAAGCCACAAATGTTACTGCACAAACTAAACCCACTTCTAGTAAATGCAGAGTTAAATGATTTTTCCAAGAGATTTCCATTACAGTAAGCATGTAGGAAGCCTTCCCTCCTTCCCCACAACAGCTTGCCAACCTCTTTACCTCTACTTTTCTCACTAATCTGACACAGACCATTACCAGTGTCTCACACTTCCGATGACTTTTCAAATGTTGCTTTAAAAAAATCTGCAAAGGTCCCAGCATAAACACCCAGGATAAGGCACCTTTCAGTGCCTTATTTTTCAGCAAATCTGAAAATCCTGCACCGACCTGAGTTTAAAGCAGCTAGTAAGCTACAGATATCTAGAAGATGTAAGATCTATGATGACCAGCCTTTCAGGATCAAAATGGGAAGAGCACAGTTTCTGACAAAAGAAAAGCATTTCCATCTTCCTTTGGTATCTAGAGTAATGTTAGACATTGAAACCATCATATTGACTTTGATACAGTTTGGTAAAAAAAAATATATATATATATTCTGTATTTTCCTATACAGGGTATTTAAGTAATCTATGAAAAGCCAAACCTCTGCAGTTCAAAAAAAAGAACTTACACATACGATACAAGGAAAAGTTACTCCAGATATTTCTCCTTTGAGCCCCTGTAGCCTATTTCATTTCCAGTAGCTTCCCTGCCCCACCTGTATCACTCCTCCTCTTCTCTGCTAGACCCACTTGGCCCTGATCTCTCCTCTGTCTGCAGTTTTGCAAGGATCATTTGGGTTATTTTCAAGTGTACCTAGTTTTAAAGGGATGCAGCAAGAGATCTGAGCTGTAAGTTATACACATGACAATGAATTAATTTTACTTGCAT